TCATTATTTGTAAATTCTAATCAAATTCAATTTTATTTAACTTATATAAGTTAACCAAATATGATTATTTATATCGAATATAATCAATTATTTCAGATTTGTTATTTTATCTAATCGTTTTATTAAATAATTATTTTATATTATTTCTATAAGTGAACAATTTTTCACAAAATGAATACTAAATTATAAGAAAAAAAATTGATAAACAAGATCTTTGTAAATGTTGCACTTTTAAATAAATTTATTTAATTAAGGAACACAAATATAGATATTATAGAAATGATTCACTTTACCTCGACCTAAAAATGGTTTACTTAAGAATAGACAACAAGCTTAAGAAGACTTTCCCGTTTCCGAACCCAAAATTTTCAAATTCTTCATTTTTTGTTTATTCTGCTCTACATGTACTTTCAAGTGCCCTCTATATATTGTTAATGTTTTGAAAACTCAAATATAGTCCTAAACCAAAAATAAAATCGAAAAGATAAATCGATTGCCGTTGAGATATACCAACATTTTTTCTTTCTTTCCCCATTTTCTAGAAATACGGTTTTTCAGCAAAAATCTACAGAATTACCCCTGTTTCTCAGACACAGTAAATTCGATCGGGCTGAAATTTCTTTTTACAGATAGTAGAGACACTTTAGGGGGACTAATTTTTTTGTTTTGAAAAATATTGTACCGCTGAGTTTTGGCAGATCTTACATTACAAGCACTATTCAAAAAAACATGCATTTTTTAGGGTACTCTTCCTATTTTGACTTTTTTATTCGAATGATACGAGATAGAAAAAAACCAAAAAAGTAGTTCCCCTAAAGTGTCTCTACTATCTGTAAAAAAAAATTTCAGCACAATTGAATTTACTGTGCCTGTGAAATGGGAACTATTTGTGGGTCGATTTTTAGCTATTGTGATCCCAATATCTCCTAGAAAGAAGCATTTGAGAATTTTGAATCTATGACAACTTTTACTCTACACATCGAGATCTATCAGGTGTGAAAGTTTCAAATTTTTCTGACGAGCCATTCTCGTAAAACCTCAGCAAGGGGGAGGGATTCCCCTCAAACATCTTGTTTAAACAGTAGGATGATTCTCTCCGCTCCTTCTTTTAACATATCATCATAAGTGTTAACTTCACTTTAAACTAATATCCATTTCAATGAACAGTGCACTCTGTTATAAGTTGAATAATCATGGGTATGAAACAGCTAGAAATCTGTGGTTTTCTTTTTTGTAAAGAGCGGTATCAACTTTATATAGAAATATGAGAAGAGTGCTGTCACACCGAGTCTCAGGTTTGTCTATCTGTGATTTTCAAATAAATTTGATTTGTGTGACCTGTTTGTAAAAAGTGATTATTTATTGAAAATTGAATATTGAAAAGAAAAAAACCTTCGTTTTGGCTGAAACTTTCAGGCGATTCTAATAACTGATAGACCTATCTATGGGCAAAATTTCAGATCGAAATTCTTGAATTTCATTTTTTTGGAAATTCCTTGCCACACACCTAAAATTCAGTAAAACGACCGTGACTTCCCAATAGTAATAGCTAAAAATCTTAAGCTGGTGGCCAATAGTAGACAATCGTCTGCCTTACCAAACTTATGTCAAAAAAATCCAATGCCAAACGGATTTTCATCGGTTAGGTGAATTGCTAAAGTTTTACAGGTAGCCAATCCCAAGACTTGGTGTGATGCCGCTTTTTTCAAAACTGAAAAGCGGAGGTTTCTAGCTGCTTCCTAGCCGGAGTTATTCAACTTACAGTACTAGTGCAGTTCGAGCACACTTAGTATGAAGTGAGAGATCTTGTTTGATAGTGTATATACTTATTATCTAATTATTTTTTTTCTGTTCTGTGAAATAAACAATGAGGGTGTGCTCAAATGGCAGTTATACTCAATAATTATATTGAAAATATTTTTATATTTAATTGGTCAAATAATAAATATTGAATACATTAAATGGATATAGAAAAAAACCAATCATTACGATAAATAGATGTCACGTATCAATTTATTTATGATTCATAACAAATCAATTTAATAGAAATAAATAAAGTTAAGTTATATTCAATTCATTTATTCTTAACAAATTAAGTTGAAGAAAAAAAACAAACTTTTTCTATAAACTATAATGAATATTGATGACGATATTAATCCATTTGCTGATCCATCAATTCGAGAGGCAACAGCACAAACACTGTGCGTTATTATTTCGATTTTTATTTTATTTTAAATAAAATTATTTTAGTTCAAATCAACAAACACTTTATGAATATAATCCATTTGAAAATCGAACTATATCGGATAAAGTATGTTCATATTATATATATTAAATTCGAAAAATAATAACAAATATATATATATTGTTTTTAGTCAAAATCATCAAAACAAGATAATATAGTTACATCTGTCACATCAAATAATCAACAAGAATCATCAACATCTATTCATGATCAACAAACAACAAATATTCATTCAAATTATGATAATCGTTTTGAACTTACTCAATTCGATCGACAACAAGCAGAACTTGAACAACGTGAAAAACGTCTTATGGAACGTGAACGAGTATTAACAAATTTACAATTTCAACGTAAGATTTTTTTTTATCTTATTTGAATTAGTCAAAAAAGAATATATTTTTAATAATAATAAATAAGAATATCTATCCTTCTATATAAAATATCAGTTTAGAATAAAAGTTAATTATTATCTCAATTTATCGAAAATATCTTAATATAGAAAACTAAACGACTAGTTAATAAACATATAGAAGTTTTTTCTAGATATTTATTCTTTTGTTTTTTTTAAATGAATTTTTATTCGAATTAAAATATGTTCAATATTTTATAACTAATTATTAATTCGTTTAGATACTGAGAAAAATTTTCCCCGATTGCCTCAATGGTGTCCAATTCGTCCATGTTTTTATCAAGATATATCTATTGAAATTCCAATTGAATTTCAATTATGGGTTCGTTATCTTTATTATCTATGGTTATGTATGTCTTTAATTATTAAAAAAAGAATTGAAACTTCTTTTTATATTTTTATTTTAGTATATTCATCAACATTGGCATTCAATTTTATTGGAGCATTATCATATTTTAGTTAGTCAAAATAAATAAAATAAATTTCTTTTCTTTATTTATTAAAAATAGTTGTTGATAAAGAAGGTGGAACAACATTTGGTTTATCAATTGTTTATTTAATATTATTTATTCCATTGTCTTATCTATGTTGGTTTCGACCTTTATATCGAGCATTCAGGTTAGATTTTGTTTTTTTTAAATATATTACATTTATATAGAACAACTTTATTTTATTCTAGAAGTGATCGATCATCAGATTTTATGATATTTTTCTTTATTTTCTTCTTTCAAATATTAATATCAATTTTTATGTTATTCGGTTGGAAAAATTCTGGTTTTTGGTAATTATAAATAATTATTTAAACTAACAAATACATAATTAATAAACACCTTTTACTAATCAATAACCAATTAATAGAAAATAAAAGAAAAGATCAACAAATAAATGATTTCTCGTTTAAATAGATCTATATAATGAGAGTTTATAAAATCTTAATTATATTTATTTCAATATTGTTAACACAATTAACAATTGTTATTTTATTCTTATTTTCTATAATCATATTTAATTCTAATCTAGTCTATTTATTTGTATCTTCTTCGATTGAATTAATAGAAAAAAAAAATCTTTTATTCTATTATTATTTTATTAATTTATGCTTTATTTATAATAACTAATATGCTCTTTTTTTTCAATTCAAATAATCTATGGGTATGTTTTGACTGATTTTATTTATTTATTCAAATGATTATCTTAATTTCCTATTGTAGAATAACTAATTAAGATTGATTTTGAAAAAAAAAAACGATGAAAAGTTGGTATTTAGTGTATCTATCTATTTTTTAGTGGTTTTATATTGATGATTAGATTATTCTCAGCTGGTGGAAGTAAAATAGCTGTTGGTATTATTGTTATGATTGTTACATTAACTTTTTCTATTATTGCTCTTGCTAATGTTTTATTATTATTCAAGGTGAGATTGTTTCAATTTTATATTAGTTTGTTTTTCTCTAACAAATATATTTCATTCAATCAAGAACAAAAAAAACATCTACAAACAAACCTAATCCAAATCGATATTTCTATATATTGATATGAGTAAAGTCTAGTAAAATAGGTGAAAATAAGCTTGTTCAAATAAATAAATAATTGTTTGAATAAAGATATTATTTCATCGTTCTCTTTTCTGAAAGAAAGGATCTTACATTTTAAAAATCTATCTATGTTTTTCTCTCTAAGCCAATCAGAAATGAACTTTTCTATTTTAACGTTTTTCGCCATTCTGGTGAAAGTTTTCTATAGGTTTTCGGGGCGATGAGTCGAAATTCGCGGTCGAATTTTTTAATATATAAAAACGAATTTGTTTATTTATCTTAATAAGTTAGTTGAAAAAAAAAGCTTGATTATATTCTATTGTTATATATATTAGATTCATCGATTGTATCGTCAATCTGGTGCTACTATTGAACAAGCACAACAAGAATTTCAATCGGCTTTTGTTAATAAGTAAAAATTTGTAAAAGTAAATAAATAAAATCTTATTTATTTATCTTCTAGTCCAACTGTACGGGGAGCAGCTCAACAAATCGGTTCATCTCGTATCAATCAAACATAAAATTTGACTAGTTATCAATAATAATTTTATCTTATGAAAAATGGTCCAACCAAAAATTAAAATTGACTAACAAAAATCAAATTCGTTTTTTTTTTTTTTATTTAAAATCTCTTATTCAAGGTATTATATGAATATATTTAAAAACTAACATTAACACGATTATTATTTTATTTTATTATTATTTTTCATTTAAATATTCTTTATTCTATCAACAAATAAGTGAAAGAAATTTTTTATTTTCTATTAATCTTTCAATATAAAATAAATCAAATTAATAAACACTTTTTATCATATACTTGTTAACACCTTTATTAATCCTAATATTATCATCCTAGATTATTTTTATTCGGATTAATAAATTTCAAAATACACTAGAAATATTTGATTTTTTCATGATTTTTCAAAGCAACTAACATTTATTAGGAATAGATATACCTTGTTCAATTTAAAAAGCAAATCAGTTTTTTTCTATACGATAACACACATTTTATATTATATAATCAGCTGATTATTTAATAAATATGAAACAAGAAAAATAGATAAATCAACCTTTAATCTACAATTGAATCAATCATCTACCATTATAATTGGATAGATTAAAGTCACTTTAAAAAAATCTTTTTTAATGGATCTGAAATATTCAGTTGGAATAGTAAATCAATCATTGAATTAGAATTTAGAAAATAAAACTTCTATCCCTTTCTTATTATATGTTTGTTCTATAGTGAAGACTTATAATTATCTAGAAAAGAAATGAAGTTATTTTTCTATTGAAGAAGCTATATCTATTCGTCATAAATACAAGTTGATTACAAAAATGAGGAAGAACGAAAATGTTTCTAGTGTATGTTGAAATATTTGAGTCGAAGTCAAAAATAAGCCGATCTAGTAGTACTAGGGTTAAAATAATTAATTATTTAAATAATAGAAAAATGGTTAGTTAATATAGGAAGAATAAATTCAACTATCAATTATCTTTAATCAATAATAAATAAATTTTAATAAAATACTTTATATCTTGGACATTTAATTTTTGTTTTAAATATTTAATAATTCTATCTCATTGACTTTATTCTTTTATTTTATAATTTAATTATTACAATTTATAAAACTAGAAAAATATTATTAAATTAAATATTATCTATCGAAATCGATTTTATTTATTACCGAAATTTATTAGAAATTATTCTTTTTTACCTTAAATATTTATTTATTTATTTATTTATATTGATCTTCAAATATTATTCAACGATTTTACTCTTTATTCTTACGATTGAAACCGATTAGACATAGAATGTAGCTGTGGATCTGTCACTCTAGATCATTTATTAACTCATACTCTCAACATGAGCAACTGGAAAATGGCAAGATCCAGTTCGTATCCATTGGTTGTGGTAGATGGACGTATTCTTAGTCTAGATGTCTACCGAAAACAAGAATGGGATCTGTCCATCGTTTTTGGATCCAGGAAATGACTGGAATCAGGCCAGAATTCATTTCGGATTTGCCGACAGAAATCTGACGGATTCGGTTATTTCCTATCGTACCTCGTTCTTCTGAGTCTCTAATCGTTATTTAAGTGGTTCTAATCGATGTAATAGTTCACGCAAGAATCCAATGTCGACTTCTTTTTTCAAATGCGCCCTATAACCTCTATTATTTTGACACTGATTACTAAGTGAGTGATGATTTCCATCACATTGGACGATATCTTGACTGATGCAAACAATGATGAGTTTAATTATCAATAAGATCTTGAAGACATTCATAGATGGCAACGAGCAGATGATACTTCACATTTATCTCTTAGATATCGAATAGATCAAGAGCGGATGCAATAGATTATTCTATTAGCAGGATAAAAAAGACATGATCGGTAGTATAATATGTTCAATCGAGATAGAATCGATGTTCAAACCTGTGTCATCGTCGATAAAGTCGTTAGCGTTAGAGCAATAATTATCTATCTTTCGAGTATATTCATAATAAAATCGGTTGACATATTCAACTGATGCGATTGATTTGAAGATTTATTCTCTTTTAAAATAAATATCTATGCCTTGTGACGCATATAAAATAACTAAGGCGAAGCAATCTTCATTAGTAGACTATTTAGTTCTTTAGGCCCTTTGTCTAACACTCGGATAATGAGGATAATTAGTTGTCATCATCCGGTAATTGATTGAGAATAATGGAAAGAAAAACGTGATGCACCTGCTCCAGACGAAAAAAAAAAGAGAAATGATTTTTCGAATATCTATGTCTGATACTTTTATTTAGTCTTAATAAAATAAATTGAAAATAAAAAAAGATTATTTCTAATCTATTTCGAATTGATTTCAAATAAGATAAATATAATATCAATAAAATGAGTGAAATCAATCGAATCATTTCAAACATAAAAAATAAGTCGGATCTTTTTTTTTATGTTTGAAATGATTCGATTGACAAATATTGAATCAATTAAATAAAAGATAAAAAGGCGCTTTTTTTTTCTAAAAAGAAGTTCTTTGTTATTTGAAATAATCTTTTAAAAGAGAGATAATAATTAACATGGATTTTAATTGTTGAAATGATAATAGAAATATATATTCTTATTCATCGAAATTAATTTTAATTATTCTAATAAATATTTTTTCTATCTATTCAATTTATAATTATTCTTATTATAAATAAATATATTATTAAATATTATCAAGATTTAATTCAAGATGAAAAATATCAACATATTCATATAATTAAACAATATTTTAATAATATTAAACAAATAAATCAAGAAAAATAAAATAAAATAAATCTATCAACAAATTTATGTAGATTTCATCAAACATCTCAAACTAATTTAAATACACAATCAAAAAAAACCTTTCTCAATATTTATTCATTAAAATAAATAAATTTATTTTATTTTTATTTTTATTTTTAACAAATTATTTATTTATTTAATAAATAATATCGAAAAATAATATTTATCTTGACTAGACATCGATCATTTCAATATATACTTTTTATCTAGATAGATTTTCTCACAGACAATAGTTTCGACTACCTTTTTATTTTATAAATTATTTTACTCAAAATGATTTCTTGAAAATATTCATATTCTCATTTCAATAGCTAATCAAGAGCTTTATCTAATCACAATTTCATTCATAGATTATGAGAACAACCTTTCGAAAAAATTCAAAACTCGATTTATCAGCTCCTTGAAGACTTTGTGAAAATTGGTTTTTCATAATCTTATCTTAAATACCGTCAAATCCTCTACAAAATTAGGGGTCGCTACGTTTGTTACGATCTTATCTTGAGAATTTACAGGTATCACAAAACACCGCAGAAAGTGAATTTTATCAAAAAATCGCTGAAGATCGGTTAAAAAATGTATTTTTTCGTTTTTTATGATACCTATAAGTTGTCAAGGGAAGGTCAGAACAAACATGGGAATCCATAATTTTCTAGAGAATTTTGTGCTCTTTAAGATGGCACTATTAACAAACAGTTTCCACAAACTCTTCAACGATCTGACAAATACAGTTTTCACTTTTTAATAAACGTTTTTCTCATAATCTAACGATGATATCCTGATTAGATAGAGTTCTTCATTGACTATTCAAATGAGAATATGAATATTTTCAACAAATCATTTTGAGGAAAATAATTTATAAAATAAAAAGGTACTCCACTACTGCATAGACTACATTTAAAGATTTTCTCAGATGATAGAACTCGACATGTACTTTATATCGAATAATTATTTAATATTAATAAAAATTGTTATCAACGAATATAGTTCGATATAGAAGAACATATCTCTATAATAATATCGTGAAAATACATTAAATGATTATCAATAGAATATTGTTGATTATGTCAATATAGATAAATATATTTAAATAAAATCGATTCTCGTTTAGATCATATTTACTCTTCATAGAAACAAACAGAAAAAAGATAAATCGAAATGATTAAATATAATTAATTCTCATTTTTTGTCGATATGTTCTCATCTAGGAAAAAAGTATGATTATATCAACATATTTCTGACATTGATTTAAATAAATAATTTATCATCGTTTATTTTTGTTAATTATATTGAGATTATTTCGAAGATAATTCTTCTATAAAAATACATTCTTATATTGGTTATCGTAGAATATTTAATAATTATATTTTAATTCAAACAAATAATTCTAATATAAAATTGAATTTATTGATAGAATTAAATATCGTCTATGGATAATATATTTATTTAGATATTAAAACAAATTCTTTATAGTCGATACCAGAATTATTCAATAAAATATTTTTTCTCTTACCATAATCGTTCGAACAAAGGCAAACTCTCCTTAAAATGTGAATAATCGTTTCCGACAAGTATATTAACGAATAAAAATAATAATTACATTTGAAAAAAGCACCGATGCCACAAAGACGAAAAGTCTAGTTTTTCAACAGCTCCACCATGTAAGATTTGTTTAAATTTCGAAAACATAGAATCATTCAATAAACCATCATCTAGAAAATAAGACATAGATCAGTTCTCTGCGAGTTTTTTTGACTGAGTTATATCTATTTGATTCAAGGTCAAAAAATTGATTTTATATAGAAAATTCGAAAAAAATGCCTTTCAAAATCTCTCTAAGATTGATTTATCTAACCTAAAATATGGTTGAGAGAAGTGAAATAAAGATAATTGTTTCATCTATCGTTCTATATTGTCTAAACAAAGATTAGATATATACCTTCTATCCAATAAACAAAACTAGTCATTGCCTTTTCTCAACTCCCTATATTTAAGAATCTAATTTATCATTTTTATTTCATTAAATCCCTCTTAGAAAGAATATTTTCTATTCTTATCATTATTTTGACTCTTTCGAACATTTATGACACCAAAAAATAAACCTTGATCAATTATTTTGTTAGCCACTCTATATCAACTTCCGATTGTGTTTATAGAACTTTGAAAAATATGTAAAAAACCTTATCTGCAACTGAAAATATATTAGAATAAACAAATAAGATGACCATTATATATATATTTTTTTTTTTTAATATTCTCTTCTAATAGAAGACTCGTTGTGTTTTTTAATTAACCAATAATATAAATTATTGAAAATGATGAATCTTTATTTCTAATAGATAAGAATGAGTTTATCTTGAGAGACGATAAGAAGATAAAATCTAAACAATAAAAAATAAATGTAAGATAAAATAATATTTATCTTATTGATAATAATTTTAGATAAAGATTATTGAATATATTTCTTTCTTTTTTATTCTAACATAGTTCCAACTAGTTTTTCTTTCTTATCTTATTCTTATCTATTTCTATATAAACAAGAAAAAAGAAAAATATATTTTTATATAGAAATTATTAATAATTTGCGAAATTATTTTTCATATATGTTTTTTATTAGACAAGTAGAATTGTATGTATCATTATATAAATCAATTTTTTTTTATAATTAACTTTATTAAACAAATCAAAAAAATAAATATTATTATCAATTTAGATCGAGATGATTATTTAATATATTCACTTTTTTTTGTTATTCTAATATAATTTAGTGTATTTCAATTAGTTTAAATAAAATATTTTATTTTTTATTGATAAAGGTAGTCAATTATTTATTATTGATATATGTTTACCATTTTATTCTCAAGATGGATAGAAGATAATAATTCATCTTTAATTAAATAGAAGACTCGAAAAAAAAAGCAACTCATTTTATTTAATATTGTTATAGAAAATAATAAATTATTTCTATATATTTGTTTTATAATCTGACCATGTCAACAGAACTAACATAGGAATTAACATTTTATTCTAATTAGTCAAAATAAATTCTCATGTTACATTGATATAGAAATAATTTATATATAATTATCATTAAATAGGTATGATTAACTCCTATATTATAATCATTTACTAATTAACAATGACAATCAACAATTTTTCTTTTCTCTTCATTAGATTTTATATAAAAGAGAATAAATTCTAGTTTGCTTTTAAATATTGATTAAGAGTTAATTCGATATAAATTTATCATAAAGAAGAGACTGATCGACTATGATCATATAATCATTTTAAAAAAAACGTGAAAAACTATAAATAAATATTGAGTTATCTCTATATTATTGATTGAATAAATATTTATTTTTATAATATATTTTCTCTATAGATGAGAAAAAAGAAATAAATAATCTAGATCTATAATAGACATTGAGATAGTGATATTATTTGATGAAATATCCTTAGAATCCTTTCATTTTATCTATTTTAATTATAGTTGAATTAAGGCTAATCTCATTATTCGAAAACTTTATTCTGATTAATCGATCCGATAGAAAATTTTCTAAATACACTTTTTTTTATTTTAATTCATAGAAATTCATTTAATCTTAGTCCAATTTATAATCGTAGAAGTTTAAAATGAAAAAAGTATTAGAGCCCAAAAACGAACCGAATCCAAACTGATATTCGAATTGCTAATGAGTCGATTCGAATCTAGTAAGTAAAAGTAATCATTCCCACTATAGAATATATATTGATTAGAGTCTATTGTATTGGTGAGAACTGAAATGAGTTTTTATTGATTGTGCTATAGAGAATAATAGTTGTTAGCACAATGGAATTGGTATATTATCTTGTTATCAATAGGATTGATTCTTTATCGTGACGATCGGTTAATTGGTCGACCGTCACCGAATTATCTTGTAATGCATTGTCCGTGACGAAATGTCCCGCAATCATTTAATCTGACATCACTTTCATTTATTTTGTGTTTTGTATTTCATGTACGTAGACGTTTCTTTATTTATTATATATATTGGTTAGCTCGAAAATAGTATCATCAGATTCTTCTACTTCTAGATCACCAATCCAAATTTGATCATCGTGAACCACGTCTGACTCATCTTATTCGAATCCGAAAACTCCGATTCGTTTCGGGCTCTGATAAGTATCATAAAATATTGACAAAAAAAAATCGATTTATATTCGTTGCTAACAAGGATTTATTATGATAAATATTATAAAATATTTCGTTAGGATTTTATAGAAAGAATTCTGATAATTATAGAAAGAATATTCTCCTATAGAAACTGCCTATCAATAATCATACCAGAGATTTCGATAGAGCAACGTTTATCCCATTGAACTATTATCTTCGACTGAATAAATATGAAGAGGAATATTTTCTCAATAAAGCGATAAACAAAGGAAGTAACAATCTATACTTTTCATCATTTCAAAGATGAATATCGAACAAGTAAATAAAAGATTGGTTCGTTTATTGATAAATGACATTATCAGTTATTTGAAATGTTGAAGATTGATTTTCGAAGACTTTTTCTATTCGTTTTTCAACTCGAATAAGACGATTCGATAGAATAAATTATTCTCTATTCATCTATCCGATACACAGTTTACTATTTAATTCAATTTAAAAGTTAAAACCATTTTTCTGAAATGCTCGAGTTCAGTCAATTGATGTTCTATATTCCTAAATTAACTTTTAGAGGAATAACTAATCACGCAGAATCGATTAATCATCTTCAATTTTCCTTTGAAACTCATTTCAAATGTGAATAACGAGATTTTTTATTTTCGACTGTTTACGCGACAGGTTAGACAATTTTCAAATTTTCCATAATTTGATTATTCTTATTTTAGATCAGTTTCAAAGAAAAATTGAAGATAATTAATCGATTCTGCATAATCAATTATTCCTATAAAGAGATAATTTAGGAATATAAAACGTCAATTGACTGAATTGAAGCATTTGAGAAAAATTGTTTTAACTTTTGAATAAAATAAAATAATAAACTAGGTGCCGCATAGATGGATAGAGAATAATTTATTCTATCGAATCGTCTTATTCAACTTGAAAAACGAATATAAAAAGCGTTCGAAAATGAATCTTTAAGATTTGAAATAACTGGTAATATCATTGATCAATTGAGACACCAATCATATATTGATTTATTCTATATTAGACTTCGAAATAGTGAAAAGTGCAGGTTGTTTCTTCCTTTCTTTATTCGATTATTGAAATAATTTAATAATAAATAAAAACAAATTTGTTGATGTTGAATCTGAATAGATCCGAAAGTAAATATATTTATTTAAGGATAAATATAGATTAATTTTAAATAAAATATCTATCACAAACATTTTATTTCATAGTTATTAAACTGTGAAAATTTTTTTTTCTTTTCAAATTTTAAACATATTTAGAATTAGTCAGTTATATAAATGATATCAAATCATAGATAGTACCAATGGATAGTTCACATTTTATATAAATTATTCTTTTTCTTCTTAAACGATTTTTTTTTTTTGTTTTTTCAAATATTTCAAATATAAATAAGATTTATAATTATTAATAAAAATGTCGATGAAAGAAAGTGTTAATGATCGATTTGTATGTCCAAATGATCGTCAATTAGAACTTCGATCAAAGTAAATTTATTATTTATTATTTATTATTTATATTGAAAAAAGAAATCAATTCTTTATTAGAATTAATTCTGGTTGGTCATTTCGTACAAATCATTTACCATCAAATTATCTTTTTAATAAAATATCTCAAAGTGTTAATAATAAATCGTTGACTGATGAAGAAATTGAAGAAATTGAAAAAGTTCTTAAACGTGCTCAACGTATTGAAATTGTTGAAGAAGAACGTATTCGGTAAATAATATTAAAAAAAAAAAAAGAAAAAAGATTTATATTGATTTGTTAAAATATTTAAATATAAAAGTAAATTAATTGATCATTTTGATAATATTAAAAAATGCGCAACTGGTAATGGTTCATCTCAATGTGTTTTATGTCGTGATCAATATCATTTATTAAATCGATCATTTAATAAATGTTTTCATTGTCACAAAGTAAATAAAACAATTTCTTTTTTTCTTCTTTTAAATATTATATTAAATTAGTCTGTATGTAACAAATGTTCAATTAAAATTGATTTTAATGATAAATTATTATCATTATGCAAAATTTGTAGTGAATATCGTCAAGTAATATAGAATTTCATTTTTATTAATTATTTATTAAATTTTATTTTAATTAAGTTATGGAAAAAATCAGGTGCTTGGTTTTATGGTATCTTACCTAGACGCTCAACTATAAAATCATCTTCATCACTTCCATCATCAGAATATATTAGAAAAAGTTTGATTTTTATTTCTTTACATATTTTATATATAGAGAGATTTAATTCTAGATAATAGACAATCAATTTCTGATCAAACAAGTTCAGATGATGACGATCAAAGGATTTCGGATAGATTTAATAAAGAATATTCGTCTAAGAATATTTTATTTAAATAAAAAATAAAAGAAAATTTTCTTTTTATTGATTTAACTTAGTTATATCAAATAATAATAATAATAATATTCAAAGTCAATATCAATTTCAAGAATTAAATCATAATAATTATGATAAAACTGTTAAGAGAGCCCACGCTCAGAAATCATTTATCGGATTAGAGTGGATCGTTTAGGCTGAAATTTTCAGGGACGATTGGCTCTAGTGATAAATGGTTCTGATAAAAAGTTGAGGCTAATATGCCTGACTAGATCGAACTCGAGCTCTTTTCAAATAAAAGCTAACTTCTCTAAGCAAATTTTCATCGGATGGAATTTTCAAACATCCTTCTCTTCATTTTTTATGACCATTTTAATGAACATCGTCTGCAAAATAAGCATAAAAACAGATCACTCGATCGACAGTAAATCCGACTTTTCTCAGTCGAGGAATCAACTATCAAAAATCTGTTCGATGAAAAGTTAACCCTGATAAAGGCCTTTAAAACAAAAAAAAAACATCGGTTATACTCCGAATTGAGGGTGAGTAATTCTCAATTTTCCTGCCTAAAGATGGAGTTTTGAGGAAAACGCTAAAGAAGTTTTCGAAATCGATATTTCCGTTCAAATTCCGAATAGATGATATTAGAATGGAATATTTTTAATATATTCCAGTGGATCGTTTTAGAGTACGTAATAGATGAAGGTAGCTAATACTATCTGACATGCTGGTTAATATAAAAATGTTCTATTCAATCATAATGCAAATGGCAACACACTTTTTCTCATACTGAAAAACTTTAAAAACCACAAAAATTTCTCCGAAAATATCCTAGTAGAGTCAAAGTTTTATGTGATAAGTCTTTGAAAAAGCTATATATTTTTTCTGAAAGAGGAAGGTTCGCTGCATCTTCCTCTAATAAAAAGTCAACTTCGATATTTTTTTGAAAAATTCGATTTTCTTAGGGAGAAACTTCCATTAAGTCATTTTAAAGTTATGAAACAAGTTGAAAAGGTCGATACTTATCTTAATTAAGTTTTAGTTTTTTTCAATTTCAATATATATCAGATTGGAACATAACTTTGTGCATCCGATTTTTTCTTTCACAGTTTGATAGATGAAATCAGTGTCAGAGAAGAAATTCTTCGAAATATTCTACATTTTCACCTTTAATATTCACTGAATAATAGAAAAACTTGTGAGGAATAAACATTTCTCACTCGTTGGACATCCATCCTGTATCAGCATCTACACTCACCTTCCTTATTTATATCTATTAAAATAATCTTATGTCATATAATGAAATAAAAAAAGTATTCATATCCGGAGTGACTACAAAATCATGGTCTTTAAAAAGAAGTTTTTGATAGGGGGATGGTGATGGGGTGCTTTTATAACCACCCCGCTCATCAATTATCGAAAGGTCACAGAAGATGAGTATTATGTTTTTGGATAGGAATTTGAAAATGGTCTTCATATATAGAGAATCTTCATATATAAAAAGTTAAAATTTTCATAGAATTGATTAAAATAATCTAATTCATTTTTTTCATTTTTAATCAATTTATTATGTAATTCTACCAATTCAATTTGAAACGATTAATATTCTAGTTCTAACTTTACTTTTGTTGCTGGAATTTAGGCTAATCATTATTTGATCATTTCAAAAAACAACCCATCGAAAAAAATCATAAAAAACTTCGCCTTTCATCTTCGAATACCGAGAAAAAACATCTATGTTCAATGTCTATTATTATAATCTAAGAATAGATTAAAATTGATTAAGAGGTAAACACGATGCTGCATCAGATAAACAAATACCATAGAATAATAACAGATAGAAATCTATCTTTAATCGAGTTTTTTTTGGCAACGAAAAGGTCTCGATTGTTAGTTCGATTTCATTTTAACATTAACAAACCAGTAGAATACCATAAAAAATTGATAAAAATTGTGGTCAAGTCAATTATATGAGAATTTTCATGGTCACTTTTGCGGAACAAAATCGAAATAATAATCAATTATCATCAATATGATTAATCAATACTAATTCATTTCTAGACCTTACAATTTATCAATATTTATTGACAAGTTTTCCTAGATTGAAAGGCTAGTCTCTACAAACCGTAATTCACCTCTGTCTCTCTCTCTCTGTCTCTCTCTCTCTCTCTCTCTGTCGCTAACAACTGCTTGGCATAATTGACCATTTTTGTGAGAGAAATTACCATTTCCATGGCACAAATAACCATAAAAATACAATCATCTGCTTGTCATCATTCCATCAGTCAAGGGCCCAGATTGAACCAACCTTCGTTCTTGACGAATGTACCTTCTCGATTAGGAAATTTCAATCGATTTTAATCGGTTAAATTTTTGATAATGTATAACAATGAATTAAATTGATTAGTTTTATAAATATTTATTTTAAATGAAATAAATAAATATTACACTGACACATAATAAGAGAAGTAATTAGATATTCTGACAGAGCTCGAAATTCTCTATCACCCTAAGTATTTAACTCTTCACTTCCATTTATTTGGTGAAAAAATATTTTCAATAGAGTGAAGACATCCGTCATGAGTATTGAGAATGTTCGAAATATTTTTCAGGAAATAAGTTCAAATCAGATCTCAATATACAGGACGATAGAGAATTTCAAGAACTCTGACAATATATAATTACTTATCTAAAAAGCCTGATTACTCTAGAGAGAAAAGTTTTCGAAAAACATTACAAAGGAACAAAAAATGGAGTTCGAACGAATCTGAGGGTGAGGGGATCTTCACTCTTCAAAATATATTTTTTCACCAAATAAATTCAAGTCAAGAGTTAAATACACAGGGTGATAAAGAATTCTGAGCTCTGTCATAATATATAATTCCTTACCTTAAAATGTAGTTTTATATTCTCGATAGAATTCTACTGATCGAAACGCTGAGAAGTTATGTGGCAATGCAATATTTTATATATTCGAGATCAATTTCAATTAAGGTCAATCAGAATGAGAAAATTATTCAAAAAACATTGCTTATTTATGATATAAATCAGCTAATCAATCAATTGATATATAGGATAAATAAAAAAGTAAACTATTTTATTGATAATTAAGAAAATAAGGTTTTCAGACATAGATATATAATAAATAATTATTTTCTTTTAATGAAAATCTTTGGTATAATATATTTATATAAATCTAATTAATTCTCTTCCTTGTTTTGATTAATATGGTTGAATTTTTTTTTAAAAATATTTTATAATCATAGTTGAATATCGAATATATTTATTGTCGAGATATTTTTTTTTTCGTTTTATAATAAAAGTGATTCTATTGAGAACTTTTCTTAATACTCTCTTCCCAAATTAATATTCTTCGAAATCTCTCTTATATAATATTATTTTATTTGAGATATATTTCAACATTTGTTTATTTGTTATTTTTAATTTAAAGAGTAAAAATTAAAAAAAAATGTTCAAACATATGTTAACGACATCTTTGATATAGAAATAAAAAAGAAAAATATTTCTAACAAAACTAATAAGGTTGTTGCATAGAAACATAATTATAAAAGAATTATTAATAAAAAAACTAAATCTAAAGAGAGAAAATAAATAAAATGGATCAAGTTCAAGTATTATCAGCTGTTTGTAAAAAGTTAAATAATGATATTGAATCATTAGCTAATCAAACATCAATTCGTGAAAGTGCAATAGCTAAATTAGATGCTAATCAACAAACATATGATGAACAATTACGTCAATTAAATATTGATATTCAATTAAAATTATCTAAAAGTGATACAATAATACAAAAATTACAATCGGATGTTGAACAAATTTCACATGGACTTCGAGATATAATACAAACTCAACAAGATACAAATAGATCAAATGTTCAACGTTATCAAGAATTAAAAGTTGAAGTAAAAAAAGCAAATGTAAATTAAAAAAAAAGTATTTGTTATTGAAATATTTGAAATAGATAACAACATTAAGTCAACGTCTTGATAGAATATATAGTGAACAACAAGTTGTTTTACGTACATTTGAAACCGATACAGCACGTGCTTTATCAACTGCTGATTCACGTTCACGAGCTTTTGTTGATGAACTTAGAAATCAAATATTTCAAAGTAAAACTCAAGAAGATACTGAACGAGAAAGACAAGAACAAAAAATAAATCAAAAACTTGATGATATTAAAAGATCATTAGATAAATATGTTAATTTACATTTATTATATTTATATTCAATATATTTTTTTTTCTTTTTTTCTTTTATTTGTTAGGAACGATTAGATAAAAAAATTGATGATGCTATACATCAATTTGAAAGAAAAACAGCTTCATTAGAAGATCATTATAGACGTGCTATTTCAGATTTAACTAGAAATAATGAAGTTAGATTTTTTTTTGTTTTTGCTTTTTTTATTTTATTTTATTTTATTTTTTATTTTTTAGTCTGTTGAACAAACTGTTTATAAACGATTTGATGATAAATATCAAAAAACAATGGCTAATTTAGAAAAAGTTAAAAAAGAAATGCGAACTTGTTTTGAATCACTTGAAGGTTCTGTTAAAACATTACAACGTATTACTGATGGAAGAATTAAAGTTACTGAAGATAAATTAGATAAAGAAATTGAAAAACTTAGATCTATGATTGTTCTTATTTAATATTTTACATATTTATCTTCAATTATATTTATAATTTAATTAAGGATAAACATCAATAAATAACCTCACCTTTTATTCACAATTATTCAAATTAATATTAATTCATCTAAACATAGATCATCATTTCATCTATTATAAATGACTCCAATTTTTACTTCGAACCTTCTTGTTTACAAAAATCTTTCTATATTTTCATCATCCCTTATTCAAAAACTGAGCTACTTTACCAAAAGAAAAATAGAAAATCTTTTTCATTTTTTTTCCTTTTAGAAATTTTCGATCAGGTATCCCACAATTCTTGAACAACCTTCGTTCATAATCAATAGGTTTTTTTTCTTGTTTTAAACAACATGTCAACACATAGGATATGAGAGAATTTCTTATTCGTATAAATCTCTTTTACTATTATATAAAAGAGTTTTTTTTATTGTTAGAGACATATCTTTTCAGAGGATTTTTAGATTTTCAACTTTTCATTACTTTTTTTCTCTTGAAAAGTAAAAATTTGAAGAAAATATTTTGTCATGCTCCGCATCTTGACATGTTTTTTCAAACAATAAAATCAATTAAGTTTATTAAATGAAGACTCATCAAGAAAATTTCCTTTTAGAAAATGACTCTTTTTTTTATTCTTGTTTGTTGACTATCTCCCCAAAATATCATAATATAGGGACTCAATATTTGACTATACCCTCTCCATATCAATCTGAATATATACGGAAAATTTCATGCTATTTCAATGTCTATCGATTATATTTATATATATATATATGAGAATGATAAATGATTGTCTTTAGGAAGGTATTTTCATTTGACTAACTGATTAACCCGTTTCGCGGCAAACTGCTCCAGATTATATTTTAAAACTAATGGATGAGGCAGAGTTTGCATTTCATATTTTAACCTCTAAAGATATTTTATTAAAAATCTAAGATGCAGCGTGAGAAATTCTACAATCTTCATAGTTAAGTTAATTTTAATTGTGTAATTATTCTTTTGAAAAAAAGTCAAATTCTGTATGATCACTTCGAGATTACGAAACGATCATTTTTTTTTTCTAGACGAATGAGAAATTTCACTTTTCTTATTTCATCTTTTTATCATCTAATATGATTTCATAAGAAAAAATAAAATATATAAGCAAAATATGCAGCGTGAAACGATCTACAATCTACATCGTAAAGGTTATATTGGTCACAGAGAATATTTCTCTTTTCTTTTTCAAAAGAAAAAGTACATAAATTAAGTAACCTTTACTATCGAGATTGTAGAGCTTTTCATACTGGATCTTATGATAGATTTTATTTTCTAATAATATATATAGAGAGAGAGAGAGATTAATAAATGAGATGCGAAGTAAGGAGATTTATTCTGAATAATCTGTTAGTTTCTATATAAGAGTCGAATCACCACGAAAGGGTTAAATATAAATAAATATTATTTATGTTGACTGTTTATTAAACGTGTCTATTTCAACTATTTAAATGTTGTTTCGTCGATGATTTTAATTTATCGAAAATGTTTTTTAAAAAGAAATCTATTGATAAAAGATTTCATAAAATCATGTTCAAATTGATTTATCTTTTGATTAGTTGTTTTTTTTTTCTTTTAAAATATCTTGATTATTTTCTATATTAAATGTCGTTGGTAATGTAACAATATTTTTCTTTCATATTTATTGATGCATTTTATTCTGATAAATGTTTTCTGATTGATATTCTATGTGTTAATATTGTCTGTATAAATTTAATATTGTTTATAAATGATCTTGTCTCTTTAATCGTCAATAAATATCTTCTATAAAGATGGTTAATCCTAATTCAAGAATAGAGAATCAATAATAACAAATTGAATAATTAAAATAATAATATGTCCTTGGATATTTTGACAAATAAACAATTATAATTAAATAGGTATTTTTATTTTTCTCTTGTTTTCAATTAAAAAAACATTATTTCGTCAAAATAGTTGATCGAAAAAAAGATAATTGCAACCTTAAATGATACTCATCATAAAAAATTGTTTCCTTACATTAATTAGGAAAGGAAAACTAAGAAACGACAATATAAAAATATGTAAAAAAAAATCGAAATTAAACTTTCTATAAACCAGCTTGGTAAAATTGTTTAAATTCATTAGCATCAAGGGTTCCATCCTTGTTCGTATCAATAGTGCTGAAAGCAGCAGCAGCAGCATCAAAAGAACCAACACCACCAGCTCCTCCTGCTCCTGCTCCTCCTAATGATTCATATGATGATGAACTATATCCAGTGGGTAATCCACCACTAATACCAAGATCAACACCATATCCTCCAATAGCTCCTCCTCCTGTACCTGATAAATATGATGAAGATTCGAAGTTTGATGATCCATATGTTCCACCAACTCCAATTCCTTCAACTAAACCACTGTCGAAACCACCACCAATCAAACCTTCTTTAAGATAAATAATCAATTTTAAGAAAAAAAAACAAAACTTTGTTAAAATACCTGCACCACCGATTTGTGAACTTTGATAATTACCAGTAGAGAAGGATGATGAACCTCCTCCTCCTCCTCCTCCTAATTCTCCTCCAGCAACGCCAAGAACATCAGCTCCAGAAAAAGCAGCACCACCACTTAATGATGATGAACTAATTGTAGCTACACTAGCACCAGCTGGAGGAGACTATTTTATTTAATAATAAAAATAATCTTATTATTATAAAATAGAAAAACTAAATCTATAAAACATACAATATCTTCAACAACACCAGCAGCACGAGCTTGTTGAATAAGTGTTTGAGTATCAAGTAATTGTGCTCCATAACGTTGAAGATAAGCTTGTGGATTTTCTTGAACAATACCCAAACGGTGAAATTGTCTAATAACACGAACTTGTACTGGTTCATATTGAATAATAACATTACGTGGTCTAGAATATTCTTTAGCTGCTTCAGCACGTTGAACAATTGTCTTTCGTTTAGCAGCAGCTCCATAAGGAATCCAACGTTCAATAATAATATCACCTATATATTATTAATAAAAAAAAAATCTAATAAATAAAATAAAAACAAAACTGAATAAATAATCTCCTAACGTGGTCGAGGTGGAGCAGCTGGAATACGTTCGATAATAACTGATCGTGGCGGAACAGGTAAAGCAGGAAGTTGTCGAACAACTGTTTGTGAAGCCTGTGAAGGTGGTGGTGGTGGTGGTCGTTCACGAAGAATAAGTGGAGCTGGTTGAGGAAGAGGTGGAGCTTGTTGTCTTACACGAAGTGGTGGTGGAACTGGTGGTTGAGGTGGTCGAACTTCTTTTATTATTATTGGCTAATAAAAATTATATTATTAATCAAGATAAATAAATAAATAAATAAATAACTTACGCCTGGTGGTGGAAGAGGCGGTGGTTGAAGAAAACGAATTCGAATATTTTGTGTATAAGTTTGAACACCACCTGCAACTTGTCGACGAATTATTTGTGGATTAGCATCAACATAGAGACCAGCACCTCGTACTTCAGCACCATATCTTGACCAAGCAGCATTTGTTTCAGGTGTATAATTAGCAGCTTGATGTATTGATGTTGCATCATAACCAGCATTAGCTGTTGTTGAATCAAATGTTGATCCACTAATATCACTAAAACCACCTTCAATACCACCAATACCACCAATACCAGAAATACCAGAAATACCACCTGATGTCAATGTTGATGATTCAAATGATGAACCAGTAAGTCCACTATCAACACCGAAAGCTCCACCAGTAGGAATCCCACCTGATGAAATATTTGACAATTCATATGAACCTGTATCAAAAGCAGCAGTTGCACCTCCAATTCCACCACCACCAGCAGCTCCAGCTCCAGCTCCAGCTCCACCACTAACCCATTGTTGAAATTCATGTCTATCAATAGCACCATCTTGATTACGATCAACTTGATTAAAAATAGCTTTTGATGCATCAAAAGCACCAGGAGAAGGAGCAGCAGCAGTAGCAATACCAGGAGTAGCACCTGTCGAGGACGAATATGATGAATATTCGTAACCACTCATATTTATTTAAATGTATGTTGTTTAGAGGAGTGAAAATAGTTTGAAATAATGTTACAACTAAATCAGTATTTATATATAAGATGCGATAGTGTTTATTACTTTTTCGTTTTTTTTTCTCTTGTTCACGTTCTCACCCGACATTGATCATAGAAGTAATGGTAATGGTGTTTAATGATGCGTATCAATAATGACATAGACCCTGTCTCTTTGATTCCTACCTCGCTTTTTTTTCTTTTACTATTAGTTTTTTTTTACTTTTTCTCATGTCCTTAAACGAATTGATAGAGAAAAAACCTATCAACATGGAAAGTTATTAACTATGTCGAAGTATAACAACCGCTAAACCACATCGTATACATTTTTTTTTCTACAAAAAATTAATGAAGTAGATAAAAATAGTAAATGAGCGCTCGATTTTTGAAATGAATATGATGTGACAAGTGTCAATTGATGAGGGTTAGTACAAGGAAAAAATGTTCTTGTAATGTTATTGAATAGGTATTTTATCAAGGTTAAAATGAAAGAGTCAATAAAGAAAAAAAAAAGTAGCTGATGAATATTTGTTGTTAATGATAATATGAAATAGAGAAAAGATTAGATATTATTGTTGAGAGAAAGTTTGTTAAAATAATTAATTTGATATATCTGATGAATATATAATAATGATTGAATATTTATATAAATAGATTATATTTCACAACACAAGATTAAAAAAAAAAACAAAAGAAAAAAAAACTATGTAAAATGTGTTGATTGATTTGCATGATATAATAAAAGATCATCTTCTGTTGATGAATTTTTTAAATCTTGATCAATTAAAAATTTTTCACAATTATTTATTGATCGATTATTATTTGAATTGTAATAATTAATATAATTATTATTAATATATTGTTGATTTTGATGACGAGTTGAAAATAAAAATTGATGACGTTTTTCATTAAGATTATTTTTCATATTAATTGATGATGATTGATTTATCTTTTGGATACTATTTAATGATGTTGTTGTATTTTGACGAGAACGTTGTTGAGTTGACGAATTTGGTGAATATTGTTGATATGTTATATGTTTTGATTGAATTGGATTTAATAAAGGTACATTTATACGGGTATCAGTTAATTCTCCATCTATTTTATTATTATCAATACATGGAAAACATCGATAAAGTTTACGAAATTCTCTATTAAATTTGGCCTAAAATATAAAAAATAGGAACAAAAAAAATAATTTTGTTGCATAAAAGATAATATTAAATTGAAGAAGGAAAGCGAAAGAAATTATTTCGAAAATAATTTCACACAATTATTGATAGACAAAGTTGGAACAAGGTTTTAACCGTATCATTGAAGATTGATATTTTTATTGATCTAAACATAGATTATAGTCTTTCACTGTTATTCTTATCTGTTATTCTGAATATAAAATAGCTTCTAGAAATATTTTCATCTTCAATTATATAATTATATATGTTAACATTATCTATGCATTTTCTATCCTATCAAATATTATAAACAGAAATGTTTTTCATCACCTCGAGCTAACTATCAAATGTTTTTTTTTTTTTTTGTTTTATCACTGATAAACAAATAAAATGAAAACATACACTACAAAATCCATAAATAAATGGGTTATGACATGAATTTGACATAGCAAGCCAATTTGCACATAACCATAAAACTACAATATGTTTAAAACTAAATAGAAAAAGAAATAAAATTTTTTTATAAAACTAAAATATTTTTTTTTTTTTTTTAAAATTCTACTCATTTATTTCAGGTTTGTATACATTAAGAAAATTATATAATTGTAATGGAAACCAACAGATAAGAAATAATGTCACAACAACAAATAACATTTTTAATACCTAAAAAAAAGATTTGATAAGATAAATTTTTATTAAATTATTTTTCTCTAAACATCTGTTTCTTGTTTAATATAAATAATATTTATTGTTTATTGAAATAAATCATTTTTATATTTACAAATGTCTTAGATTTAATCCGGTTCGATTGAATAAATAAAATAATATGCATCTAATTAAGATTGACTTACCATAAATCAAATCCTACATCTGCTTGTTTTTTTTATCTTAGATTTATTTACAAGGTTATTTATCTTATCTATTTTATTATAAATAATTATTATTTATCTTACTTTACGTTTATTTCGTGCAATAACTTCTTGAGATTTTGTTTGTCCAACTGGTTTTGAAAAATATAAATGTGATCCTATACGAAAATAAGCACAACTTATTATTATAAATGGTATTACATATTGAGAATAAATATTATAAACAATATAAATTTTATTTATATTATAAGATCTATTTATTGTTGTTGCTATTGTTGAATTTGAATCTTCTTCTTTTTCATATATATAAGGTAAACATTGATAACCAAAATCATCAATAAAATAAACATTATAAAAAAATAAACTTGGAATTGATGATCCTAATGCTATAAGCCAAATAATAATAAATATAATAAATGCTGTTTTAGTTGATAATTTTGGTTTTAATGGATGAAGCATAACATAATAACGATCAAGAGAAACAGCAACTAATGTATATATTGATACATCAACTGAAAGAATTTGAACAAATGGTGCTAATTTACAAAGAAAATGTGGTAAAACCCATTTTTGTAAAGCTGCAGCTTGAAACTAGTTTAATTAATAATAAATAAATAAATAAATAAATATAATTAATACTTACTTGAAATGGAACTGCAAAACAAGCAACAAGACAATCAGAAAGAGCTAAATTACATATAAAATAATTTGTTACTGAATGCATTCGTCTATTACATATAACAATATAAATAATCGAAGAATTACCAATAAGAGCAAGAAAAGTTATTATTCCATATGCAAAACTTAATAGAATTATTTGATATTGTTCTGGTATTAATGTTTTTGTTAAATCAGCAGCACTCAATGTTACATTTGATTGTGATATTGAAGTTGAACTAACAAGTTTACTTATCTCGAATATATTATTGCTTTTATCTATTAATGAATCCATCATTCAATCTATTCAGATTCTTCATTCTCTGACAATTTATATATATAGATTATTCTTTAGAACCTTCTTGAATAACTTTATATTAAACATTGGATCTAGAAATCTAAAAAGAACAACTCAAATTAAATCAAAATAAAACATCAAAAAATTCTCTTGTCTTTTTTTATTTTATTCGTTGGAAAAATTTCATTTACCTTACTATATATTAGTTAGTATAAAATGTGTACAACATCTTATCAAGCTAATGTTTCTTATTCAGATAATTTCGAGGAAAAAACTACTGTTCTTTATTTTCTCTTCTCGTCTCTTCATGTGTACTCATTGCAGTCATCAACTGGAATAAATCACACATTTTTATGCAAACACCCATCATCAAGGATGTTAGGGAGGAGAGAGAGAGAGAGAGAAAAAAACGGAAAGAACAAGAATAAAATAATAATAATAATAATAATAATAATGATAATGAAATATCTCTCTCTCTATATATGTATATATATATTTATTGATGAAGTTAACTTGTTTTCATATACGTATAAGTGAATGGCGAATAACGAAAGAAATAAATAGGAGATCTGCATGATTAACATCGATTCAACTTTTATTAACGTCTAACATATTATCTTTGATCTGCTAATGTTTTTGCTTTTTTTTTTTCTCTTAATATATACAGTCCAAATGCGGGTCAAAAATAACAAGATATATTATTCCTACGAATTTTTATAGTAAATTGTTGTAGGTTAATGAGTTTTCTCTTAACTTGTTATTATTGCGTTTAAGATATCGAAAATATCGTTTAAATAGGACAGTAGCAACTGTTAGTTGACATTAAAAAACAAGATATATTCTATATCGAAAATAGCATCAATGCACATTATTTCTCTGTTATAGAACAGAAACATACGTAGATAATAAGTCTTAAGGGAAAGATTTTAGATTAAAGAAAAAGAAACGTCGATCTTATCCAAAAAAAAAAGACATATGGATATCTGTAAATATTACTCTCACTTGTTGCCTGTCATTTATTGTGCAATAGGATAGTTCGTCATCTTATTAGAGATTATGATTGACACCAAATGGGGTTAGCAAGAGAACGTTCGACTCAAATATACATCTATTTCAATAACGACAGAAAACAACGATATTAATATACGAAATATGAGAGTTTTACCATGATTTTATCTTACATTTATCTATATCAAGATAAATTCTATTTGATCATGAATTTTCTTTTGAAAAACTAAACGAAGAATGTCGCATCCTTTTATTTCTTCTATTGAACGATTCTACTCAAGTGAAGTCCAATTTTCTTTGAAAGATCTATTGAGTAGAAAGAAAAAGTTATTTACATTATCTTTACAAGCTTTATAGAGACGATAAAATAAGGGAAAAGAACAAGAAAAGAATATATATGATAGCCGTCAATCCTTTGCATCACTCTGTTGCAAATAAATAGTCTTCTAAAGGGTTTTTCATTGTAGTTGGTGTAAAATACATAAAATATAGTTGCTGGTTGATTTAGTGATGACGCATGTTGATAGTCAAGAGTCCACTGGTATGTCTGTTAGTAAATAGAGATTTCTATTAGATGTTTCTTCATAATAGATTATTGAATGAGCGACAACAATGCATAGGTTTTTTTTCATTCATACATTTTCAAGTGGATCATTAACTTATACTTACCTTTGTTAGTAATCAATGATTGAATTTAGTTGCCTGTTGAACATTAAAAAAAAAAACGTTTTTATTTTTATTTTTTGTAATCTAGACGAATTCTAATTATTTTTTGTTGGAATCATGAAATATTCACTGGAGGATAAATTATTGGCACTATCGATTAGATTTTTAATAAAATATGAAAAAAGAAAAAAAAATAAAATGTCTCATACGCCATTCGCATCAATATTTCTATAGAAAGAGAATCTATGTCGGATATAATTACTGTTAAAAAAAAGAATATTTTCAATATGAAGAAGTCTAATAGATCTATTGCTTTTATATGAGAAAAAACAGAAGGAAGATTTTTTTTTTTCTATTCAGTTCCCAAATGAACAAGGAAAAAAAGAACACGAACGATAAAAAAAAAGGCTACTGTAAACATTTAACAAATTTAATATAAAAAATTGTTCATCTATCGAATTGATTAATAAAAAAAAGTTGAGAATATTAATCTTCGATTTTGATGTCGAGGTCATGATAAGTGTTTGTCGATTTCATCCAACTCTTTTTTTTATCACACTTCAAATAAACGTTATTCGAGTAGAAGTTCCGATCTTTGTCCCAGAGGAATTTTTTTATCAATAGAATGAAACAAGTTCAATTCTATATAAAAGAACATACTCACTTTTTTTCGATTATTATTTTTAATGATAAATTGTCAAAATTTTATTATGGATTTTTTTATGTTCACTTAATCATTGAAATCTAATATGATTTTATTTTCATCATTAATCATATTTAATATATTTACATTTATTTAATAAAAATAAAAATAAAAGAAAAAAAATTTTTTTTTTCAATTAAAATCTTTTTTAAAAATTCTTTGAAAAATTTCGATTTATTTTCTAATAAAACAATTTATATTCAAGTATGATTCATATTCGATAATCATATTCATATTGAATTTGTAATTATAATCAATTATTCAATAGACATCTCAAACTTTGTATTTTTTCTTTGCCACTTTTCATAAACATTAATCGAGATTTTTTTTTTTTTTCTGTTTTTCTCAATAATATTGTTCTATATTATATTTTTCTTCTAATAATCTCATTAATCATAAAAGACTTAGTCATATTCAATAATTTATATTTATTTTTAAGATAATTTATATAAATAGGACAATTATTTCCAAGTAGATTTATCATGTTTATATTATTCTTACAATTGATTTGACTCGTTTTATTCAGGCATTGTTTAATAAGATTTTTATCTATTTCTATATATATGTATTGATTGATTGATTGATTGACAAGTGAATAAGTAATCATGGGTGTAATTCATAATGATAATAATGATTTCAAAAATAATGATAAATAATTGTGAATTAAATTCCATAATATATATTTTAATTTGATAAATAATCGGCTAAGATAAAAACAAATATCTAATATGTTTTATTTAAAGTAATTAATTAAATTTAGATGAAGAATTTCTATGATATTAGTCAATAAAGATGACTAACTTAAATCATTTATCGAGAGAAATTAACTTCGATAATAAGTCAAACTATTTTTTTTTATTTTTCTAAATTATCTTTTTTAAATTTCAATATTAATATCAATATAAGTTTCTAATTAAATCGAAATAGTTCTTAAATAAGTTCAAAAAAGAATTTTCAGATTGATTTAAAAAGTATTTCAAATAAATAATTGGTAATCGTTAAGCTGGTGTTCCACCGTATATGCAAAACTTTTTTCTAACCAATTTTTTTAAGAGAAAAAAAATCGAAATTTCTGGTCTTACTGGATCTCACAGCACGGCATGTGAGTAAGGACGCAGGATTGAATCGGAAAAACGCTTCTCCCTTAGAGAAAATCTTGATTAAAATGTTTTTTTGTATGTGCAGTGGAACACCAGCTTAGTGAATAACCAGGGAGCTCAGCCCTACCATCTGATCTTTCAGCCTCCACTGGTGTTAGCATCGTTAGCTGAATCCTTTCATAAGTTCTACGACCGTCAAAATCCTAATTACATCGGTAACAGTAATTCTTCATAGGTTTCGCATATCTACAAAATGCGGTCTATGAAATACAGTAAACTAATTGAAACTAGCTGTTAAAGAGCCATGCACTAGATAGAAACGTGGCGAATGAAATAGTTAAAGGGGTCTCACTTCTTCTAACAGAAAGTTTCTTATCTGGAAGTAGGACGAGAGAATTTTTGCACAGTGAAAAATGATGTATTCTCACGGTTCAATATTCTCTGCAGAAAACGAATTCATCTCTTCACAAGATAGCTGCATAAGTATTGGCTACTATTAACAGGTAATATAAAGTGACATTCATTCTTTTTGTAAATTTTATCTGACTTATGATAAAACTTCTCGCGAAATCTTAACAGAAGACTCACCATAATAGGAGACGCCCCTAAAAACTTTCTACACTAAAATATAAGAGAAGAAACCGTGTCTGTTATAATGAGACGAGGTTATATACCGAGTTTGGAAATGGTTGTACATCTGATCAAGTATACTCCTAATTGATAAGTCTTAATAGAATCATAATAAATAAAAAAAAGCGAGGATAGCTCCCTCCCTCTGCAGAACCCAGAGATTTTCATGTGAGCCATTCAATGTCTTGAGGTTTGCAGTCTATCTGGAACATCGGGGTTATATTCAAATTTTTAATAAACGTAAACTTGCTGCAATATTTTCCAAAACCATGTACTTTTTATGGAAATTTTTTCTTAACCGAAACAACAGTAAACGTTTATAAATGGTCTACTAGCTGCTCCCAAATTTAAAAGCACTTCACCAATATAATCGCTATTATCCATTCCTAACAAGGTACGTCATCTAGATTAGTTAAATCCCTGAGAATCACCATCCTAAAATCCTACTCACGAGGAATTTCATGAGTCTCGGTTCCTACTAAATATTGTGAATTGGTTAATTCTCAATAATGAACCATATCTTTTCGTACCTTGATGAAGATCATTGAGTATCATTGCTTCTATTCAACAAAGTCTTCCTCTGTTTCTTGTGATCCAATATTATAATTTTTTTAGATCATATTTTATTCAAATCCTATTATATCATTTCAAAATGTTTCGAAAATATCCCTAATCTCAGTCATCTTGGTGGAATTTTGCAATGAGATGATCTTATGAACTTTGTCTTTTAATCTACCATGCGCATTTACCTGCTCTAATGTCCTTTGTCTATTTTCGAGAAAAATTCAACCGAAGACGAGGTCCCACAACATTTATCAACTACTGCTACAATCTTTTGCATTTAGCGCTAATCTTACAGAAGTAAAATGTAATACGTTCATATCTATAGT